AGGCTCCTGGTTTACTATAAGAATATTTTGTAGGAAAAAAATTAAACTTAAAACAATTTACCCTCGTGCATTTTTCTTATTTGCCAGCAAACATTACAAACTGATTACGTATGGCTGCTATACTTGGATCTTATTTTTGAGATAACAAAGCATCCTTCAAGTGAATTAATTGGAAATTGTTTCGTATGAAACAATTGAACGGAAAATTTTCCCGAATCATCGAGATTTTTGGCTTCAGCGGAAGGCTGTTTTCTTCGAGTTATCGAGGTTCGACTTTCCGACAACGAGGCAACGTGGGGGAGGAGGCGCATAAATAAGGAGGATTCGGCAGAAATAAGCGATCGTCCCGATTTAATGGAACCAAGCAAAGCTCAGCAACTCACCACCTCCAAAAATAGCGCTGCCAAATAATTATGATTTAGCGACGGCCCTTTTTTATGTTTCCCCGGCTACCCCGTCTGCGCGGCTCCGCCCTCGGGCGTACTCTGAATTTGCCGAGAATTTTGTCCCCTTGTTTCACGCGATTTACGTGGGTACTTCTTGTAAGCACGCTGTGCACAGAAAAATGCACCGCGCTTGGGCGTTGAGCCCAACAGTTTTTCGTGATAGTCCACGCGATTAGCTGCACTCCTTGCTAAGGAAAAACGTCGTGTAAACCTTTAGGCGTTGCCAAATTTCCATTGGTAAAGCACGAATTCTCGGGAAAATTTTTGAATTTTTTTCTTCCAATTTTTCAGATAATTTTGTTCCCAATTTTATCTGAAGTTCTTGAAAATTTCAAGGAAAAATATTCATACCTTGGCTCAAAAATACACATTTTATCGAAGGAAATTCGGCAACTCGCGAATGTTTATACGGCGTTCTTCCTTAGCACGGCAGTATAGTATAGAGCGTTGTATTGAGGGCAAATTTGAGTCTTCCGTTTCCAGAGCTCCAAATTTTTGAATTATCAATCATGAATCTTTACAGGGCTGGCGTGAAGGTCGATTGTCACTCACGTCAACAGCAAACTGGGTTTCCTCCTCCCAGGCCAATAAATATAGAAGAGAGGGTAGAGAATAATAATAAGAAGAAGAAGGAGGAGGAGGAGAGACAGAAGAGAAGGCAATGATAACCCTCCGTATGCACTCGAATCTCTCTATTCGGGTGCTACAGTTGAAAACGACAACACTCGTACATTTTTGAAGAGGTGAGAAAAGCAGAAGTGCCTTCAATTTTGAGTATGCAACACGCACATGCGTGAGACACGAATAGTTGCATGAAGGCGCCGCAATCAACTTAGTCTAGTCCGGTGTTCGGTAGGCCGCCCTTTTACAGAGTAGCGTTAGTACCGTGCACACCTAGAACGCAGATAGTTGTGTGAAGGCTCCACAACCAACTCAGACTAGTATTCGTCGGTCGAGATAATAACCGAATTCTTGGTCTCAGGTACACTGGCCTCACGTCCGTAACAATACTTGTACATAGATACTTTTTTGTTTGAGTGCTACATGCAACTGATAAGTTCCGTGCATCTCTGAAGAAGAGAGAAAAGCGGGAGCCTGGGAGCGCCTTCAATATTTGAATATGCAACACGCGCATCCGTCGGACACGAATAGCTGCATCAAGGCGCCGCAATCAACTCCATCTGGTCCGGTATTTGGTAGGCCGCCCCCCCCCCCATAGGGTAACGTTTCGGCGCTCCATATTGGCCGGCACTTAGATCAAATTTTCATCTCGATACCTCCTTCCGAAAATAAACCTGTAAATTGCGTTGATACTTTTAAAGTCGTCAAAAATCTTGTGAAATGTTCGTCAAAAATTGCTCAGAGGCGGGCATTCGTCGATGAGCTATGGATTGAAAATTCAAAATTAACGACCGGGCCTCTTGCAGTAATTTCCAGTCTTTTGAGCGGATACCCCACGGACTGGGCAAAGAATGTCCCTGTCTCCATACCTGGCAATTTCGCCAACGGGGTGGAGGAACATGCTTTTTTCCATTCGGAGCCACAAGGGACTCTAAACTTTTAACTTTACCCAGATTCATATAAGCGTACACATGATTCATAATTTTGCGTTATCCGCGCTAAACAAATATGAAATGGTGACCTAGATTACATCTGATCGATCTTACCCCACTACGACCCGCATGAGCACGCAGTACCCGGGCAAACCCCCTCCTTTGTTGAAACTGAGCTCAAGAGTGGGAGGGTGCTCGAATCGTAAAAGCCAATCGAATTAACGACAGGTATCAGGTGAAACTGGGTGCTCCGGATCAGATCAGAGGCCGGATACGCTCCTACATCGCATCGTCACCATTTACTGCGTAAAATCTGCTAATTTTACTTCGAGCTCTACACAATTGTGCAACAGAAAAACGCCGTGTAAACATTCGAATGTTGCCAAATTTCCTCCGATGGTATACTCATAAATAAAGACTGTTATGAATAATTTTCGTTGAAATTTTCAAACGATTTAGAATAAATTGCGAATAAAATTCGTTAAGAAATTAAAAGAAAAATCCTCATTAGTTATCCTGAAAATTCGCATTTTATCACGGGAAATTTGGCAACTTCCGCTGTCTCATACGGTGTTCTTCCTTATCACGACGGAGTGGTGGATTCATAAACTCAAGCCGGAAACCGGCAATGTCGGTATCGTGAAGGACTGCGATGTACGAAATCAAGAGGCGAACAAGGATAGCCAGATAAGTACAATAGTTTATTCTCATAATAGTCGACAATCCGACGAACAATGCGCGGGGGTGTCTCCGCCAGTTCGCGATGGTGACAGCCCATAAGCGCAAATTTCCGAAATCGACAACCCAAATGCGCAAATGCGACAGCCCAAATGTGGAAATATTCATAGCCCATAAGCGCAAATGAAATAATCGACCAGAATTTCGATATATCGAATGGAACGTAATTAAAGGGAGAAATAAAAGCAGAAGCGTGAAAATGGCGCAACGTTATTTACCTTTTTTTCCTTGGTAGTTGAGTCCAGAAGAATGCAAATCAGTGAAAAATCGATGATTGATAAAGTTCGGTTGACAAAAAGTTTCCAGGCTCAGCTCTTGATTTGTGCATGTAAATAGCGAATTTCAAAAACTGAATTGTAGATAATTCATTGCTGACAAGCTCATCGTATGTTTTCAGTAAGAACATTAATTTTTGAGTTTCTTTCTTGCATTTAAGAGGTGGGTTTCGGACACTTCGAATTTTAACATAAGTTTCTGCTTGTACATCTTTTAAAGTTTTAAGTAGTAAGTGCTAGCAAGTGCTTGATGAGCTGCAATTTCATAATCTAACTGATTTTTCGTCGCGCGCGATTGCCACACATTCAAAACGAGCTTTCCTTCGATTATATCGATGTATCGATCAGGCCGATGCTTCTCGAATTGACAGCCCAAAAGCGCAAATAGTCCCATTTGCGCTTTTGGGCTGTCGACTTGGAGGATTTGCGCTTATGGGCTTGAACGGTTCGCGATATGATTGTCGGTAGCCGAGGGGGTAATTTAGGTTGTGAGCGAGGGGATGAACATTGGTGTCATCTGCGCTGATAGTACATTTTTTTGCGTGGGGTTCCGCTGGATAGATAGGCGGGGGAGGGTCTTGGGTCTTGTTAGCAGAAGGTGTATGAATGAAAAAGAGAAGGCAAGGCCAAGTGCATTGGCTGTTTGATGTTGCCAGATCGACTTATAGCTCAGTCTTTCCTCCATAGCCATACAATGAGAGTCTCCTTACGATCTCTCTCTTACATCAGGAAAGAGTCATTCTGATCGTCGAGGTATAATAAAGCTTTCGAGAGAACCAGTCTTTATTTGCGATTCCAGAGGATGGGCTTTGGGCACTGTCATATCACAAAATCTGAAGGGTCTGTATGCAATGGTTATATGCATATGGTCCAGGTACATGGCGGTCAGGGATAGGTTGCGTCGCCCCCCCCCTCCCACCTAGAAACCACTCGACCCCTCCCAAGAAATGCGAGGGATTTCGTTAAGTAAGTGCGTAACATATTCCTCTCATTTCTGAAATTGTAAGTGAGTCAATTTTGGGTCGAGGATCATGAATTTTTTTTTTTTTTTTTTGGGGGGGGGGGGAGAGGAGGGGGGCTCCGTCCAGTCAGAGGACTTTTGTAATGTTAAATTTGAATTCTACGATCAAAATTACACACGAAAGAACACCACAGTCTGGCACGGGAACTCAAAAATATTTGATCACCTGGAAGCCATTTCAGGAAGGACCTTAAGCCCCCCC